TATATATATATATATATATATATATATATATATATATATAAGATGAAACAAAGAACTAATTTAAGACACATTTAAGTGTCAGGATCCCTGCCTGAGGAAATCCCACTCTGAATATCCCTGCTATACATCTCCCTGCCTTGGGGATACGGTTGTCATGCCAACAGTGTTTCCTCTTTCATTTATCCCAGTGTGAGTTGGAGGATACGTACTAAAGTAAAGCCATAGATAATGACCTGTATATTCTACTTTGGTTTACTGTATAACTTTTATTCTGAAGCTAAAGAGATAAACATGACCTGATCTAAATAAAGCGATCAGTAAACCCATACGTCTCTGTTGCTGGAGGAGTGACTGATGTTCATGGTGTCTGTTTTAGTTCAGAAGCTGCAGAATGGAAAACTAACATGTTTATCAGTTAAACTAAACAGAGCAAAGTAGACTCCACATCCTGTTAGAAGTGACTGATCATAATCTCTATCTGAAATCTTAGCAGCAAAAGTTGAGATTGATTTCTCCCTCTCATGAGACACTGCCGCCCTCTGCTGGTGGAGATTTGTCATTACAAAATCCATTCACTCAAACTGAAGTTTATGGATTTATTTGGAAAATTGGTTAAAAAATACTTTTATGTTCTCTAAAACTTTTAAAAACCATAAAAAAAAGATTTTTTTTTCTCCCCCCAACGATTACAGAATATTAGTAATACATTTTTCTTTTACTATCACCTTTTATAACACAATAGGAGGCAATAATAGGAGGGGGTTGGGGTGCATAAGGATGCGTGAGGTTTTGGATAAACAGGACTATTTTAAATTTCAGGTTAGAATTTAAGCATCTGAGTTTTTGTGACTGAACTGACTGAACATTTGATCATGTTTAGGCTACCTGCTCAGGAAAAATAAAAACTTGATTACACATATTGAACTATGTATTAATATTTAACATCTATTTGTTAATTTTATTACAGTCTGTTTTTTTTTGCTTTTGTCTTGGCTCAACAGTCTCTTTCTTTTTTTTATCCTGCTGTTTGGTTTTGTATTCCCTGCCATTGTGTAGTATTTTGAGTATTAGCAAGGATGACTTTTATTGGATAGGAAAGGCCCCATCTTTGACTGACTGGTGGTCATTTCAGTACGGAGTTACAAATTGTGAGTGCAGATCAAAAGCTCAGTTTAGTAGCACACAAGTTACGCCATAATTCTGTGGAAGATCATAAAGAAGAGAGTTTTAATAATCAAAACTAGGAGTCAACAAGGCTGTAGACAATCATCAAGATAGAGTAATGGGAAGGACAGAGATGATGTTGGATTATAGATCAGAATGTGCAGATCAAGTAACATTTTCCTAAAAGCTAAAGATAGTTATCGAGGATGATATAAGACTGCTAATCTAAGGTGAGGAGAAGACTGTGGTGCTGCCATTAGGGAGCAAAAAACCCCCTATATTTTAGATAATCAAGATCTCTTGATTGAAAACAGGTCAAGGGTGAGGGAGAAGGTAAATGATGAAGGTCCTGGAGATGAGCCTGAGGACCACCAGATATACAGGACTGCCAAGCAGGGATAATCTGCAGAGCAGAATGGTGAGATTATATTAAAGTGATCAGAGGATGGGAATAGAAAGTAAAGCAAAGTCTGACGCTAAGATCATTGGTGCTTTTTATCAGAACGTTTTAACGCGGCCTTTTTTTAGTTCAGCACTTTGTATCATTTTAAGACTGTTGTGCTAAACAAATAAACTTGCTTTGCCAAAATATCGGTGAAGGTGCTCACTATTCCACCATGTCTCAGGGATTGCTTCATTTCTTGCTTTAACCACTTTTATCTTTGCAGAATTCTAAACATTTAATCTTCGCATAACATCTTTAAGGCAACAATAGTTGCTTCTACATTTTTAACTGAATGAAGCCCTCATGTTTAATTAAGAAAAAAAAAAACTTTTACAGCACTAAAAAACAAACAAAAAAAGGTTTTGTGCCATTTTAATAAAGGCTGGAGCAGTAATATGACGTTGGCTAATTGTAAGGTAAATAAACTGATTAAATGAACCCCCCAAAAATAGATCCAATAAGGTCTGGTGGAGAATAGTTACCATTTAGGCTAAACCTTGTTAGCAAAATCAAGCTAACAGTTATACATGTCTTTGCATATTATGTGTTTAAAACGAACATAAGCTTCAGATGTTTTTGTTTAAAAACTGAATGTGACACCAAACTACAAAGGGTCAGTTTATTACTGCAAACACGTAGCGGCCATATTGGATTTTAAGTGCCTGAATCAGAACCTCCATCTGACCTGTGTAAACTGTATTTCTAGCTGTCATCCATTCGCCTTTCTTAGGGTCATGAGTAAGAAAACTATGCAGGGTAGGATAGGAACAGCGAGCTGCTGCTCTGAATTCAGACAGCTGTAATCTTTACCCCGACTAAAGCCTACTAGAAAGGATGGAATATACGAAGACACACTGGAAAAAAATTTAAATCTAGAGAAGTCATTTTTTCTTAAAATAAGTGAATTTGTTCTTAGATTGAGCAGGTAAAAGATACATTTTACCAGTTCATTTAAAATAAGAAAACACAATTGCATTGTCTTATTTTAAATGTATGTTATCTAATTATCTTATTTTAAGATTAAAAATACTAATTCCATTGGCAAACTATCACATTTACCTAATCATATTAAGGGTAAATACACTTCATTTAAGGAACTTTTACTTATTTCTAGATTATTTTTTCCAGTGCAAAGATCATTTTAAACAAAGAGGAAATAAAATCTTAAAATGTTAAAAATTTTGTTCACTTTTGCACTTAAATCTAGACTTTAACAGTGAAATAAATCCTGTCGTCTTTCGGAAAGCAGAATATTCCTACACAATCAAATAGGAGAGTGACGACTTTAGCAGCTCCGCTCTGCCAAAAGGTTTGAGAAGCACAGTTACACAACAAAGGAAGGAAGGATTTCCAGAAAACAAGTCTTCATAGATCTTTGTTACATTTTATTTTTAAATAAATCAGCATACAAAAAAAAAATACCTTTATTGAAAATTAAATATTTTGCTTTAAAGACACATATTCGACAGCCTTTTCACACATACTATACAAGCAAATCCCACTCAGAGATTTGGTGATCTTATTGGACTCCTGTGCTACATTCTGTCTGAGGAGGAGAAACTAAAGGACTTTAGAGGACACAGACATTGGTTTCCAAACACTCGATCATCTGAGGGCTGAATGGCAGTGAGGGCAAAAACAGACAAAGCACAGCAATTTGAAAGCTTTACAGGATCAATGAAGTTCCTTTAAAACAACAAAAGGTCAAAGGAAAAGAAGACAGACATTTTTCAGCAGATCATAACAGGATACGTTTTTTTTTCTGAACATTGAAAAAGTCCAGAAGAACTTAAAGAAAACAGCTAAAAATGTTTGTCCATCACATAACACTAGGTAAACATTTCAAGTAGCCACTAACTGTGTCCAGTGAGAGAATTCAACCAATTACTGGTGAAAAGCAACAAAATGTGTGGTTGAAAAATAAAAATTGTGCTTTAAGCATTTATTGAAGTGGCTGTCGACTGTTTAGCTCCTTTTAGTGTTTGAATATTTTAAGGCTGATTGGAAGGTCAAAGGAGCCATAGAGTGAAACGATAATCAGGTTCTTAAAACAAATCCTACATCAGAGAGACATCTGTTTGCATATACAGCATCAGCAGGGCTGAGTTTCCACCCTGACCAGCAGGGGGCGCTTCTTTAACGGAGATGGAAAGAAAAACCTTTTTTCCTTTCATAAAGATTCACACGTCAAATAATAACAACAACAAAGACAGATTTATTCCCCCAGAAATGTGAGTTTTAAGCAGACGAATAGGAAATGATCAGCGGCAGACTAAAACATTTCAGACGTTTTCTTTTACTCATACTAACAGTAAGTATATGACAAAGAAATGAGTTTGACATTTCTCCCCATAGATTTATAATTATACACGCAAAGACAAACTGCAGCCTTTCTAAAAAGTGACAATAGAAGTGAAGCAGCAGAAAGCACCAACTCTAAAGGAAATAATAGTTTCTTTCTTAATAGCATGTGGACCAGGTTGAAATGAATGATTTAATAAAACCAGAAAAAGGATGGAAAGCTGAGCCGCGGTGAAACTAGTAATAAATAAAAATGGTTCATCTGGGGGTATTGGAGCTGCTGGTTGTTCTCTGTTGATCAGAACCGCTTCCCCTTAGAGCTGTAACACTACATCCACAGAAACAAAGGAAAGCAGAGCATCTCCATCGCTGACCACGTCAGGTACGCATCGACTGCTGCAACACAACTCTGTGTGAATTTAAAATGCGTATTAATAAAAAAATACCAATTCTTGAAAAGGCCAAACTGGTCCAGCTCAGCGTGGAGTGTGGTGAATACTTCAGGGAGTATGGTGGGGATAGCAGCACAGTTTAAGCCTCCAGCACAAACCACTGCTAAGAGCCTGAGAAACGGGACATGGCGTGTTTTTTTACCAATACTTCTAAAAACATTTGAACTTTCAGTCGTCCCGTGTCAGTCCCACATGGACACTCTTCTAAAAGAATACAGCATTCAGACGCTCCCCTGCGGAGCGGACAGACAGTGTTGAAGCATTGGAAGGCCTGTATAAATAGTTGAGATATAAATATCTGTACTCTACTAAAGACATTCACTTCCAACAAACGGGACAGCAGGATTAGCCTGAGGAAGTTTTATTCTTTTAGGCCAGACCGTCTCTCTGAGAGGCCGACCCGCTTTAAAGCTGCCGACTCTTCAGTGACCCTGATCCACATTTAAAATGTGTCACTGCTGCTTTTGGGAACTGGCTGGATCCCATCAGACATTTCACTGGCAGGTCAAGTCGGGGCTGTTGAGCCAGGACCAGATCTGGATCATCTCCTGCGGGGTCCTCGGGTGAACCAGCATTAAGCTCTTGTAAGCGCAGGGGTTCGAGCGAAACTTCTCCTCGATGTTAAAAGTCCTGAAGCCTTTGTGCTTCTCTGGAGCGAGCCCCAGCTTCCGGAGACACATCCCCGTGTAGACGTCATCTATGGGATAGAGCGCTACGTGTTGCGAGACGTTGTGCAGGCGGGCAGCGAGGTCTCCGGAGTAAAGGTAGCCCCCTCCTCCTGCGTACGGAGGGTACGTACCGACATACATGCTCTCAGGGATGAAGTATTTCACCCTCTTGTCTCTGTGTGGCCCCGCGTTGGTGATTACATCCCCGACAAACAGGTCTCTGGCTCTGGGTTCAGATAAGCCCTTGAGGAAATCCAGGATGCGGTACGTGTTGACAAAGACGTCGTCGTCCCCCTTGAAGATGTAGCGAGCTCCAGAGCAGCGGGTCTGAATCCATTCTAAGAACAGCAGCTCTTTGACAGTCAGGTTAAAGAAGGAGTCTCTGAAGTCCCACTGGACGATGTCTCCGTGCTGCTTGCTCTCGTACTCCACCATCTCGGACAGATTGGGGTGATAGTCGGCATTAGAAGCATCTCCGAGAAGGAAAACGGTGACCACAGTCATGTTGGCGACGACGCCGGCCGACCCCCAGGACTGACGGATGGCCTGGCGCCGGTCTATATGAGGCGCGATGGATTTGACGGCGAGCAGCAGGAACGGCGGCTCCCTGCAGATGGTGGGCTGGTCTCGCAGGATGGGGTAGGAGCGGCAGCGCATGTAAAGCAGGAAGTCCTTGAAGCGAGGCGGTAAAGAGTTGTAGTCGTTAACCTGAGTTGTGACCTTGAGGTTGGGCTGGCAGGGGTCAGAGGGTGAACTGGTCTCGTTGAGCCAGTCGGGCAACTCAGCGCTGCTAGAGTTCGCCAAGAGGATGGGATTGTTCTGAAAGTCCAGGATCTGCTGCTGCCGGTTCCAGTAGGGGGAACTGGGGGCTAGCTTGGTCCAGAAAGGTTTGAGGGGGACGTGGGGTTTCCGAGGTCCGTTTCTTCCGGCGCTGTTGTTAAAGGAGATGAGGATGAAGATGAAGAGGTTGACCATCATCAGCGTCACCATAAGCTTCAGGTTCCAACGCAGCAGCGCCATGACAGCCCTCCACTGGACAGAACCTGCAAAGACAGGAAGGAAAAGGTCCATTAGCAGCTTCTACCTGAGAGAATCTGGACCAGAGCAGTTAGGTTGTTATCCAGGTTTGTAGAAAAATAAAAAATAACGCGTTTAATCTATATGACACAAAATATGCAACTGCAAACCTTGTAAAAAAAAAAATGCCCATTATTATCTTCTATCCAGAAAGGCATCACAAGAAAATGATCTAAAAACTCCAAAGAAAAACTGAACAGGAACCCATTTTCTCTTTAAAGTCGTAGGGAAACGGCTGTTCCAACCATTGCATTTCCAAATTCTCCGAGTGGTGCATGACTTTACACGAGTGAATAAAGTGAATAAAGTGAATGTGATTGGTCAATTATCAAGGGGGTGGGATTGTTGTAGCGGAAGGTTAACAAGCAAGTTTGATTGTTAACCTTCAGTTTCTCAGAAGCATCTTGCTAACCAGTTAGCAACTTAGTGCTAGTAGGTTCCCAATGGGAAATTCCATTGGGACCAAGTAGCGCAAATTTGGAGACTTAGAAACGACACTGTCAAGGAACGCCATGGACAGAGGAAACATGCAAGAGGAGGAGAGTTTTGTGTCGGAGGTCGTGGATGAGTCTCCTCCGTCATCCATTTTTTATTTAGAGGAGGAAAGAGGGGACGAAGTTGTTGTGGAAGAGGACGCCAGGGCGGCAGAAGCTTGGTTTGGTGTAGAAGGCTTCCAGCCGTACATGTTTGAGCCCTTGCCTCCCAACGCTGCCAGTTCTGTTAGCTCTACGCCTGCTGAAGACACAGACGTCCATCCCCATGAACACTGGGACGGAACTCAATGGGAAAGGAAATGATTCTTATTTCAACCATTGCGTTTATTAGCTGCAACATATGAATGAAGATGCTATGACCAAAAAAAAGTTGATTTACAAATTTACATTTATATACATGTTTAAGCCAGAATGATTTGACATTTAAATATGATTTCCCTATAACTTTAAGAGCCAAGCAAAACCAAATTTAGGTAGGATTAGTGACATTTCCTTCCTCCCTTAGCAAGGACCATGGGAAACCCCGGCAATGGCTCCATCAGGATTTACTTATTTAATAAATATGTTATATGTTGAGAAACGTAAAGATACAAAAATGCAACAGGTGAGATTCAGAGGCTGCATAAAAAGAGGCCTGCCTGATGTTGGCAGGGCTGCAGGGTCACATGTAATCAGTATCATAGCAACCATATATGCAGTATCCATATCACAACACACCGCAAAAATGCTAGCTAATTATTTAAGTAGCATTTATTCTAGTCTAATCCTTGTTTATCTGCTAATTAATGTTGTTGGTACACGAGGATCCTAAAGGATAAAGTCAGTGGTTCTTTAAATCAGTAGTGTCAATAAAGCATGTTGTCCATTTTGACAAATAATCTATGGCTCTAAAGTTGGGTTCTCATCTTTCCTGTGTGAAGCAGAAAGTTTAACGACTAATGCAGAGTACATTATGCTTTTTGGCCGCCATCCTAATAGTCTTTAAGGGTGTGTGTTTTCCTTGTTTGGCCTGGGAGGGACTGACTTTACCCTGCCCCTCCCTGACTGAACATGGGAGATAGCACCCAGGCTTTGCTGCAGGGGATCTGCAGTTCACCACCAATTCATCACAGCTTAGAGGTTCAGAGGCTGCTTTGAGAGCAGCTACCTGCTGATTGTCCCTACTTAACACTACAATAGACCATGCGTTTAAAAAACAATATTTACACTTTTAGAGGCAACAAGTCTGTTTATTTTTTGTGCTTCACTGCAACTCTAGCAGCTTAGCATCCGTCTTTGTTTCCACCTGCTCCCCTTTTTAACTTAAGGGGTTCCCAACATTCCCATGCTGCTAAACAGTGAAGCACCATCACTCAGAACGGTCCTCTCTCAGGTAGCAAATCCCTTTTTCTTCTCAGCAATCGACTAAAAACTACAAAGTGGAAAAAAACAAAAGCTTCGTAAGCGATGGCGTACTGATAAGAGTCGGAGGGAACAGACTTAACTGGTTAAACATGGTTTCTTTTTGATAAAGTAAAGCAGAAACAGGTCATGGATGTCCTGATTCGGGTTTAGAGGAAAACAAAAGAACAGAGCTTTAATGGAACGTCTCAGTCTAGATTTGTTTTAAACCTTTCTACTAAACGTCATTTAAGGCACTGGTGATGCAGCTTTTTCTACTGTAAATATTTTGGCTCGGCTCAGTTCTCAGACAGGCAGTTCAAACTATCACACTGGAAAAACAATCTAGAAATAAGTAAAAAAAAATTCTCAAATTAAGTGCATTTACCCTTAATTTGAGTAGGTAAATGAGATGATTTGCCAATGGAATTAGTATTTTTACTCTTAAAATTTGTTATTTAGATAAAATGCACTTGGAATAAGACAAAGCAATTTTTTTCCCCCTATTTTTAATGTAAATTGTCTTGTTCCATTCATAAAATGTCTCTTTTACCTCCTCAATTCAAGAACAAATGTACTTATTTTTAGAAATAATGACTTAAATAGATCTGAACCCCAATGCTATAGACACAACCTCCCGATGAGGCTCCTAAATCTTCATCATTCCTACCGATCCTCTGGCTTGTAAAGTTTTGCTTGCACTCATCTCACCTTCCAGTAAGGGGAAAGTGTTTGTTCTTGCAATCCTTCCAGTGGCAGCTGATTAGATAAAACAAACCGTCATGTGTGCGTACATGTGCAGACTGGAGGCTTGGAAAAAAAACAGCCCAGATCAGAACTGAACCATTCAGTTTTCTAGATGTCAATCTTATAAATAATTAAACAGCCAAAGTCTTTTACGCAGAATGAGGATTCTGCAGAAAGGTGGTTACTGAGAAAAAGCAGCTGGAGGCTTTGTTTTGCCTTTTGTTTGTCATTTAGGACAATATTATATGAAGTGGTATTACATTTCATGAGAGCAAAAAAAAAAAAAAAAAAAAAAAAAAATATATATATATATATATATATATATATATATATATATATATATATATAAATAAAAAAGATTTCTTTTTGTCTCAGCTGAGTATGAAAGGGGGAAACCATGTTAAAAGAAATACAGGTAGAAGAATCAATGTACATATTTTTACTCTCCCAGGGCATTAAAACGAACCTGCCCTTTATTTCAGAGGAGCAGTTAAAGCAGAGCTCCGTGGTTTGGGTTGGTACACAAGTTTAGAAATGAAAGCAACTATGACGCTAATTCTCAGAAGCTAAGCTATCAAGCCAGAGGCTGATCAGTCACTGCGGCTGGCCGCTCTGCCAACTTTTTAATAGCATTACTTTAAAAAGGACAAAGGAATGCTAGCAGCTCCACAAACAGAAGATGGTTTTTTATCCAAAACCATTATGGGTATGACGTTGGAAACTTCAGAATAATGCAAATATTTATTTCAATAACAGCTTTGCTTTCTCTGTTAAGCAGATGGAAGCGCTGTTAGACTGGTGAAGATAGAAGTTCATGAGCCATATTTAACTTCCAGTAATGTACACAGTGGTAATTCTCTCAGGCTTACAGAGGAACTAAGAGATAAAAGTGGTCAGTAGGGATCATCCTGTGTCTAAATTCTTCCCTTCTCTGTATCATGTTGCCCTCTCAGCCTCCTAGCAACAGCTCTGCTCTGCTTGTTCTCTGTTCTCCCCACCTTTCTGCAGGGCACCTGTCCCCTCCTTTATCTGCTCTTGCTTTTGTGATTTCCACTTAAATTGAATAGAATAACCAGGAAATGATGTACACTACTTGTTTCTTTGTTACAGTATCAAATTGCAGGACAGAGAAAAACATGAACAAGCTTTTTTTTAATGACTTCTTTTCCCCCCCTGTCTTTTCCTCTTGGATAATTGAGCTTCACTGTTGAGTGCATCCCACACAGACAGGAGGACTTCAGGGAAATGAGTGGGAGAGAAGGCTGGCTTGTTAGCAAAACCAAAGCCTCTGGTTTACCAACATAAAAATATGATTTATAGGCGACAAGCAGATATCAGCTGGAGTTTAAACTAAACAGCAACCTGTGTATAAGGAGGAATTAAACAGGGATATTAAAAGCCCACTTGCACTTAAATCTTTTATGCATTAAAAATAAAAACTGCTGAGCTCTTTTCAAAACTATACAACCAAATCCAACTACCAACCCTGAATACATAAGGTAGAACGTAAGCGTAGCTTTCAGGCCTCTGTTACATTAAGAGTTACGCTGTTTACCACAGCACTATTAGAAAGAACGCAGACAGAGGCAGAGCACAATGCATGGTTTGTTGAGAAAACATATTGGGCTGAAAGTGGCAAAGCAAAACAAATTTATGCTCAATAAAGATAATGACCTAAATGGGGAAGGAAGCATTAGAAAGGATTGATAGATCTGCTCAATTCTCCAGGGTTCTAACCACAGTTTTTCTGCTGATTGAATGCACATCACTAGTTTAGCAATACAGGGTTTTAATAGTACTGATTTCCTTTGCTCCCAATCATTTAACCTTTTAATATAAGCCTCATTTTGGGAAATTTGCGCCTATTTCGCTTTACCCAAATGGAACAGCAAATAACAGGAACTGTAAGCCCAGATTACATGTCCACTACGTTATTTGAAAGCTAACACCTTCTAGTTTTTAAATATATACATGAAAATTGGGTGAGTAAAACACCCAAGCTGGATTAGTTCAAACAAGAATCAAAGTAGTTTTTTAATTCTAAAAAAATAATAGGTCTCTTTTGAACAGCAGTAATAAAGACATGCCTGCTTGTTGTGCCTGCTTTGTTTGTTTACGTTTTGACATGCTGCTATATCTGTGTTGATTGTGCTTTGGTGCTCGCTTTGTCCATAAAATGAACTTGGCAGTTGGATTGTGGAGAATCTAAGCTTTTCAACGATGTCTAAAATGTCTATATTGGTAAACATTTTACCTGTGTAATTTTCATGCATTCTTAGTTATTATTTGTAAACGATTTAAAACGGGTAAAATGTGGCTTTTGAGAAGATAAACAAAAGTATGTGCCAAAAAACAAAACAAACAAAATAAACTAGCAATTATTACACTGAGATCTAAGAAACCATCACAAAACATGGTACTCTAAGTAACTCATATCTCACCGTTGTCCTAAAATCTACTGAATTTTCGGGTTCGTATTTAGTGCTGATTATTTTAATGAGGTAAAGATCTAGAAGCGTCAGATTTGTGCCATAAAGGCACAATTCTGGAGTTTTATAGGATGCAGCTCTGATCAACCACACAATGCTAAGATGGACTTGAATAAATGGCTTAGATCAGACAAAAGGTTCAGTAAGATGAGCCCACCCCCCCACCTGTATGCACGGTGGGTGTGGGGCACCAGGGAACAATGGCAGGTTTAGACTTCTCACTGAGTAAATAAACGAGCTTTAATGCAACATGGAGCTTTCCTTTAATAAGTCAGAATCATCTCAAATAAATGTTCTACCCTTAAATAAATTAACTCCTGAAAAACACCTCTTTACTCCATGAGATGAGTGAACGCCCAGGCCTGATGATCGTACCTGTGCAGGTGTGTGGGCCTCTTTGCTTGCGTTGTCTTGCTGTCTGGTCTCAGCCGTCTCACCCCATGCTTATATCCTCTATCTGGGAATAGGAGCTGATGGGAAAGAAAGGACGAGCAGCGCTAAACCTGAAAGCAAACAAAACAGTGTTTCAGAAAATGGAAAGATCCACAACATTGTTTGTAACTACCCTATTTTTACTAATTTTTTTATCTATTTATTAGATAACACTTAGGAATACAGAATAAATATAAGAAAGTTGACAAAACTTAAAAAGCTTATCTACTGAAACTCTAAAGTAGATGATTCTATATATATATAAACAGGACCATTGAAGAATAAACAGCATCATATGGGATTTAAAAACATTGAGATTAATTTGTTAAATATAGACAGCTATTTTAGTTTAATAAGAAAAGCAGTTTAAAAAACATATATTCAACAAAAATGTCTATTTACAAATGTACTTATGCCTTTAGGATGTGAGGATATATTAAGTCAGTTCAGGAAATAGTAATGATTTCTATAATCTATGTAAGCTGTTCCATTCCTCTGAAAAGGCTGAATTAATGTGGCCTTAGACCTTTGCCCAGCCCAGTGCATCTGCAGCTATTGATCATTTACACTCAGCATAATCAGCTCTCTGCCCATGATGCTCTATTTGGGTGGAGACGCTGCTCCAATCTTCTAACTTAATTGTGGAAAATCAGATTTCTTGAATGCAAGATTAAATCAATATGCTGCAGAAGTTCTGGAGAGCAACTCCCGCATGTGGATAAACATCATGATTGCTTTCGATAACATACAGGCAGCAGGCGGACAAAAATCATCTAAATCTTACATTGTACAGGAGGGTAAGTCATATCATCTGAAACAGACGTGATATAGAGCAGGGTGTTACATCCCTGGGAGTAATTAAATTGATAGCTGCATTAAAAAGAAACTGTAACATATCTTTTCTAAAACACAAACCAGATTTTTCAGGTCTAATAAATATTCTCATTGACTTTCAGTCACTCACTGACTTGATTTGAACTGTCCAAGATTTTGAAAGCTGTCTTCGGTAAAATGCTTAGAGCAAATGAACAGCTGAGCATCAAACTTTGCAGGGATCTTCTGATACACAAACATAATCCATTCCTGTCACTTCTTCGGATCCTTGGGAAGACTGTAAAAATGTCCCCTTTCTCTATGCAGCCTGGAACACTGCATTTAAGCCCCTGGTTCTGGCTAATTTTCAATAGAAAAACTACCTGCTTTGTAATTCTTGTTGAAGTAAACCAACTGTAGAATAAGAGCTAAACTGGTGTCTTATATTTCCCTCTATCTACCTCTATTCATGTTCTTGGGCAGGTGAACCAGTGGGCTGGTCTGTATGTCAATTTCGGGGCGTGACAAAAGTAAAGGCAAGAACCAAATAAGGCAACATCCCCAATTTGACGTCAATTCGGGGCTTCGTCTGAATTCGCACGCTTTATGGAGGAAGTTTAGAATTGTGAGATTTGCAGAGAAAGGAGGTGTCGATGAGGTTTGAACTTCTCTGTACTTCCGTTTCACCCACTGAACTATCTTTATTCATCTATAACAATGTAAACTAGGTTTTACCTTCTATGATCCCTTTAATACAAACAGCTGGCAGGTGGATTCTTACAGCTACTTTGTCACCTGGTTTAATAAAAACTTTGCAAAGGATTTATAACTGTCACAGCAGACAAAACTGCCCTTTAAAATTTGACAGCCCCTAATCACAACCAGGGAATGGAAGCTCAATAAATGTTCTTTTCCTGGTCTCTCATGATATCTAAATACCATCAGGCTGCACTGACAGCATCATTCTTTGGTAAGGCTAAAGAGAAGAGTCCAAGAGTTTGGATTAAACATGATTAACTGTCAGTTAAACAGGACCATGTAAAAAAAAATCTCCTTTGTCCTGACAGCAGCTCATGGCTCCAAAGAATTGAAACTTTTTTTTTTTTTTAACATAGAAAGATAATACAGATTTATTCCAGTCCAAATGCAAAGTTCCTTGACTGTTTGGTAATAAATAATACCGAGCTGCTAACCTAAAAGAAAAAGGGCTCTTGTTCCTTTTTAATATTCAGAGACACACTTCCACGATTACCAAACTCATAACATGCACATGTTTAAAGAAGCCATGAAAAAAGGACTAAACCAAGTTTTATGAGGAGTTTATATACCGGCACACATCTTTTCATTCTCTATGAGTAAATATACAATATACAGAGCCACAAAGGTAAACAAGAAAAAATCCTAAAAATTAATCCATTATAGAAAAAAAAGCTCTGCACAATATTTCTGTGAGGAACTTGGACATCTTCCTGGCATATATGCTCAGAGGCAACATTTCATGTCAACAGCAGGTTGTTTTACTAGCAAAAGCTAATCTATTGTTTTACATCTCCCCCTTTCCAGTGGGTACCTGCAAACATCACTATGATAAATTGTCAACTAGGTGAAGGCTAAAACAAAAAAACTGAGGCAAAAACCAGCTCATATTGCTGCATGACTGAGAGCAGATCCCTGCTTTCTCAGAGGAGGACCGACTACTTCTAGGGAACAAGTTTAACTTTTGCACAGGAAACACACAACAATGCATCTATGGCAGCGCTGAAATGATTGACCGTGAAGTCAAACAGTTAAAATCGAACCAACTAAGGTGTTTTGGATTAATATTCAACTTTGCAGCCAGCAAACATACAGAGTATCCAGCTGGCTCTAACTAGCATCAGGCACTCTAGTAGATAAAAGAAGCATGAAGTAGTGAAACTTAAAATGTATGAATATAAACAATCACCTAAATAATAAAAGATAAAAGCTCTTTGATCATGTCAATTACTTAATCAGTACTGTGATTTAGTTTTATTAGCAATTAGCATAGATCCCTGCTATTAGGACCACTAGGGCTGGACGATTTTGCCAGCAATGAAAATTGCGATTATTCTAAACCAATATTGCAATTGTGATTTTATATTTTTTCTTTGCATTAACCAAAATCATGTAAATGTTTCACTGCAGGGTTTCAGTTTTTGGGGATTTTACTGTAACCTTTTGTCAAGAAGTGATAAATTATACTTGCATGCATGAATTTGCATGCTAGCTGCACCTCTCTTCTCCCGTCTGTGTGGTTGCAAACCTACTTTAAGCATATTAATGCCATGTTAAATTGTGATCATATTGAAAATGCAATTAATTGACCAATGACTACCCTTAACAATATTGCACAGTCAAGTTGTTTTCTGAACAAAAATTTGCCTGAAAAAGATTATTTACATTCAGAAATAAATATAAAACAAGGAATTTAGCCTATCTGGTTAGTAGCCTGATTCTTATGCCACTTTGAAAAAGAGGCACTGGATTTAACTTTGTACTGGTATTTTTTCCTTAAAAATTATTCACATTCAAAGAGCAAGTCTTTTTTTATTGAAAAATTTACTTCCCTTGGTCTACACTCAAAATTACACTCTGGACCTCAGAATTTCATCCTGAATAAACGCCATGAGGGATGGAAGGATCCCATGAAAAAAAACATTTCAAGCTGAGAAAATTCCTCTTTGTTTTTCTAAATTGAAAGTCTTGCACTGCATGTTGCACCTAAATTATTAGGCAATTTATCCTGTATGTACAAAGGTTCTGGATTAAAACTTACAGGAGCGTGAGGTTTAGAGGAGGTTATAGTAGAATTGAATTATAGAGACATGTTGCAAAGTCCAGAGCTCCATAAATAGCCTGAAGGCTGCAAGTGAAGAGGGAGTTAGACTCTGCCCAAATATCTGCAGTTAACTAAAGTATTCAGTTTGCTTTTTCTAGCTGAACGTTACCAAGTGAAGCAGCACTAACCGTATAACTCACCAAAGAAGACAGTAACAACTGTTTAGATCAGGAAGTTTTTATCTGATTTCATACCCAAACTGTAAGCATGCCATTTCAAGCATCTTCATTTTCTAATCAAATGAAGAAGGAAACAGTTACAGCAACATGATGATGAAACAAACCTGCACACAGCAACCACTCCACTTCAATGCAGCTAACCTTTAAATAGAAAGGAATTTCTCATTATCAACAAATACTTGTGAATCTGACACCCCACACTGAAGGTCATCTCTCCCTTTGCTGTGACTCATTTACTCACACTCCTGGAATCTAAAAAGAAAAATGACGCATGTATGTCATCATATGTCAGATTTAGATTTTACAACCGCACAAACAATCTGCATTTCAGGCTAAATATCCAAACTTTATGTTCTAATTTCAGCATAATTAGTCAATCGATTGACCAATGTTTACCTCAAGATATTTTGAGCAAATTCATCTTTATGATGCAAATGCATCTTTAAATTTAAGCTTTATTTGTTTGTGTTCAAGAATCAATTGTTTGAAGAGTCAAGAACTTAATGATCTATCCAAGAATAAGTGACTAAGATTTGGCTTTCTGAAGTTTCTGCAGAACATTGGCCGTTTCTCAATCTGTGTACTTGTGCCTTCTCGTGTACTCGTAAAACTTCATCAACCTCAGCCCCAGTACTGTTCCAATTCACAAGAACAGCAGGCTGAGAACGGACAAAGTCCCCGGATGTTGTTCTCG